TCCTCCCCGCAGGGTCTGTGGCCTTGAGTCCCAAACCCGGACCCAGACGCCCCTCCCCACCCCCACCCTCCACAGCCCTGGCCGGGGGGGGGGGGGGGGGGGGGCGGCGCGGCCCCCCCCGGCGCCCGCTCCCCTCTCTGCGCGAGGGGGGGTTATGTTATGGGGGGGGGGGGGGGGGGGGGGGGACACAGGGCCCCGGGCGTGGGGGTGACCGCCGGCCGCGTTGCAGGCTCCGCGAGCGGCACCAGGACGTGCTGCGGCAGAAGCTGTACAAGCTGAAGCAGGAGCAGGGTGTGGAGAGCGAGCCTCTGTTCCCCATCCTCAAGCAGGAGCCCCCGTCGCCCGGCCACGGGTAGGTCGCCAGGAGGTCCCCCCTCAGGCCCCGCCCCCCGCGACCTCCCCGCCCGACGCCATCCCTCCCGTCTCGTCTCCCGTCTCGTCTCCTCCGCAGCCCGGAGCCTGAGGACCCCGCCCCGACCCCACCCGGGCCCTCCTCCTCCGAGGGGGGCTCGGGGGAGCCGGAGGCGGAAGGGGCGGCCCCCGCGGAGGGCGAGGCGGACGGGGAGGCTGTGCTCATGGAGGAGGACCTGATCCAGCAGAGCCTGGACGACTACGACGCGGGCAAGTACAGCCCCCGGCTGCTCACGGCCCACGAGCTGCCGCTGGACGCGCACGTGCTGGAGCCCGACGAGGACCAGCAGCGCCTGCAGCTGTCCCGGCAGCAGCTCCAGGTCACAGGTGAGGGCCGTGCGGGGAGGCGCGTCCCCGAGCCCCTGGGGGGGGGGGGGGCGCCCGGGCACTCACACAGGGGGGTCCCCCCCCCCGCCCCCTTCCGGTCTCAGGGTGGGGCGGGGACACAGGCCGTCGGTGCCCCCGCCCAGGGGGACCCGCTGTCGGGGACCAGGTCGGGGCCCGGGAGGGGCGGCTGACGCGCGCCCCGCCCGCAGGGGACGCGAGCGAGAGCGCGGAGGACATCTTCTTCCGGCGGGCCAAGGAGGGCATGGGCCAGGACGAGGCGCAGTTCAGCGTGGAGATGCCGCTGACCGGCAAGGCCTACCTGTGGGCCGACAAGTACCGGCCGCGCAAGCCCCGCTTCTTCAACCGCGTGCACACGGGCTTCGAGTGGAACAAGTACAACCAGACGCACTACGACTTCGACAACCCGCCGCCCAAGATCGTGCAGGGCTACAAGTTCAACATCTTCTACCCCGACCTCATCGACAAGCGCTCCACGCCCGAGTACTTCCTGGAGGCCTGCGCCGACAACAAGGACTTCGCCACCCTGCGCTTCCACGCGGGGCCGCCCTACGAGGACATCGCCTTCAAGATCGTCAACCGCGAGTGGGAGTACTCCCACCGCCACGGCTTCCGCTGCCAGTTCGCCAACGGCATCTTCCAGCTCTGGTTCCACTTCAAGCGCTACCGCTACCGGCGGTGACGGCCGGGGCCCCTCCCGGGCTGGCCGCCACCTCTCCCCGGGCCCTCCCCGCGCCCACGCCCGCCTTCCCCGGGGGAGCGCGCCTGGGAGAGCGGGAGGCAGGCAGGCCAGGCCGGCCCGGGGTCCTCACACGCAGGACGGGTCGGGGGAACTGAGGCCCGAGCCCTGCCCCCACGGCCCCTGCCGTGGGCTGGGGGTGCCAGGCCTTGGGGGGGGCGTGGGGGGCGCGAGTCCAGGGCGGCTGCGGGACCCCCCCCCCCCCCCCCCCCCCACCCCCGGTCCCCCACCGGGCCCCCCCCCGGGCTGGGGGGGGTCAGGCCCCCCCGGCCCCTGTGCGGGCAGCCCGGGGGCCCCCCCCCACCGGCCCGGGGGGCCCCCCCCCCCCCGCCCACGTTGGGACAGCCGTGCTCCTGGAGATCCTCTCCCGGCCACCACGGAGCTGCCTCCGCGTTTCTGCGGGCCTGACAGGTGCGGCCGCCGCTGGGTCACACGCTGCCAGCGGTGGGGGAGGGGGCGCCCCAGGAACGTTTCTTTCAACGTTTTGTTACAGAGACGTCTCCGTGGGAAGGGGGGCCAGCCCCACCTGGGCTCCTCGGCCGGCCCACCCGGACGCCCCGGAAAGATTTTAGGTTGTTTCTCTAAAACGACTTTTTTTAAGGTGTGGGGAAATACCTTATTTTCACTTAATTGGCCTATTCACGGAGTTGCATGTTTTTTTAATAAACACTTTATTTTAGAGTACTTCTAGATTTTCAGAAGCTCTGCAGACCGGCGCCCCCCCACCCCTCAGCCAGCAGTCCTGCCGGTAACGTCCTGGGGAGCCACGGCGGGCGCGTCGCAACCGAGGCACTCAGCACAGCCAGGGAGACCTTTTCTTGGTTAGTTTTTTAGTTTTTAACT